ATACAAAGGCCAGGTCACTGAGCAGACAACTGTAAAATGGTCTATTTTGCAGAGAGGTTTGTATCAAAGCAACTTATATAAGGTCTGACCTCCAGCCTCACTTGTATTCATTTTATAGTTGTGTGCTCAGTAACCTGGCCTGTTGTCTCCATTTTGTTTTGTTAGTCAAATTTGGCAATTGATACTTTATCCTCTATAAGTGACATCACTGATATTACCATTTGATAACAGTGATGTTAGTTATAGACAAAAGATAGACGTGTTAACTAATAATTATAGAGTTAATGCAAAATAGGAATCAAAATCATGGCATTTGCCGTTAATGTTTGGTTATTGCATTGTTACTGCCTGCCTTAAATCATAACTCAACATATGAAAAGATGAATGATTCATGCACAACATCTTCATTGCAACACTGACAAGATACTATGCAGTGCATTTTAGACACATATCTAATTATTCTTGCATTTTGATTGGCTCTTACAGTAAATACTTATGATCAATTTGAGGACAGATGCATAGATGATATCGTCTTTTACATTTTTTTGTTTCTTTATTATATAAAACAAATAGATTCCATTTTGCAGTGCATTTGTTCGAATCAGTAACAGATCACAGATGATGTAAGAACATGAGTGACACACTCGGCTGACCCTCACCCTTTTGTACACCACTTAGACAGAAAAGGTACCCCTTTCATTTAGCTTTTATGGAAAAAAGTATCCCTTTTACACACCTACCTAAGAACACTGCATCACTTTTCTAAACCCGTGGAATGAAGTTAATGAAAAATATTATGGGAGAACATTAAGCATTACCAGATACAGTCACAAGATTTTGTTGTGGCAATCAATATCAATCTAAACACAAGACATAATTCTTAGAACTAACTGAGCTGGGATCTTAGACATTCTTTTGTGTAAAAGCAAATATTAGAACCAACCAGTAAGGTCCTAAGTTAAATGGGCATTATCAAGGCAAAATTTGCTTCTTTTTCGGTCAAAACAGAACACACAATGTAGCTTAATAAAGACAGAGTGTGTCGCCCGTCACTTGTTCAAGAATTGCCTCTAGAGTCTCCAAGACAAGGTTATCAACAAGTAAATGAAATGCTGGAGGGAGAGCCTATTAGTAACCTGTCTTTACTGATTTTTCCAAGACTAGATGAGGGGGACTTTCAAGAAGTCTGCAACGCATTTTCAATTTAACATCACAACCTTCTGCTTGCCTCTTCATTCACACTCTTTACGGCCTCACTGCACTTATATTAATAGTAATTTTGACAAATTTAATTTCTGTCGATGAAAATGTCAAAGGTTCTTTTTAGGGTTTAGTGCCCTTTTAAAGATGAATAACTAAGAAACCATGCAGGGACATTGTACCACATCAGCAGCCAGGTTTTAGTTACTGACTGGTGTTTTTTTTGTAAAATTGCTCACTGATAATTTAGTTACTAAATGTTGCCTTCTTGAATCTGAACTCATCAGCTTTTGAAGATCTAAAGAAACGTTATTTGGAGGGACAGGTTCGAATCTCTGGACTACAAGCTAAACAGAGAGATAGAAAAGGATCACATGAAAGGGTTTATCAAGAGAGAGATGAACTGTTAGGCCACCTGCAGAAGAGCTATCTTGCTTTTGAAGAAAAATATGGTGAAAATGAACAACTCAAAAAGATGATTGAAGATTTAAAGCAATCTCTTAAATTGTGTCAAGAAGCTTCAGCTCAGGTGTGTGTTTGTCTCTAGCAAAGCTAAGGACACAAGGGAAATGTAGAAAACACGAGCCATGGGCGAGTGTTTTCTTTATTTCTCTGTGTTTTACCACAGTGTAATACATGGGTTAGGCTTCTTTATTTGCTTTATGATATAGAGGTAATGTGGCAAAAAACAATAAAACAGTCCTTTTCTATGTGTTATACTCTGATAAAACATGGGTTTTTGACCAATCAGAGCATTTGCGGGGTCCCATCTATATTATAAACCTACTTATTGTTTCATGTTGAATTTATGCCATATAAATATGACCAGAAGTTCTAATGGTTTGAAATGTTATTTTATTTTTACATATGGCTCAAGAATATCAGTGTTTATTTTTTTCAAAGTTCAAGTTACACATTACTTGTTTACATCAAAAAGTAAACAAAACAAAGCTAAAAATAAAAGAGCACGCATTTCATACAAAACTTAAGTACAATATATTGATTAATCAGGTGTATTACAGAACTTGATTACAGTATTGAACCAACTTGCACACTAAATTATCAATGTGTGTTAGGAACTAGAAGAATCT